CGCCTCACTTTCTTGAAATATTTCAATTTTTATTCCATCAATTCCTGGTGCCTAGCTCTTTGCCAATTCCTTCAATGCATTTTGGACATCCTCCTTCAGCATCGTTGGCTCTTGATCATATGCTACTTCTTGAAACGTTTGAACATTAACCATTTCCTTTTGGTACAATGACTCTGTGTATTCCTTCCATCTTCTCTTGATGTTTTCTGAATCATTCAATAATTTGCCCTGAGAATATTTCAGTAACGAAAATCAAAACTTGATATTTTTCTTCAGTTCCCCCAGCTTGAGAAATGCTGAGCATGTTCTTACTTTTGGTTTTCTGATTCCAGATCTTTGCACAATTTATTGTAATATTTGGCTTTATTTTCTCGAGCTGATCTTTGAAATTTTTGGTTCAGCTCTTGGACCTCCTCATTTCTTCCATTTGCTTTAGCATCTCTACGCTGGAGAGCAAGTTTTAGTGTCTCTTCTGACATCCGTTTTGACCTTTTCCTTCTTTTTTGTCTGCTTAATGAATTTTTGCTTTCTTCATGTATGATGTTCTTGATGTCATCCCACAACTCTTCTGGTCTTTGGTTTTTAGTGTTTAATGTATCAAATCTGTTCTTCAGATGATCTTTAAATTTAGGTGGGATATATTAAAGGTCATATTTTGGTTCTCGTGGACTATTCCACTGACTGCCACTGTCCTTGTTTTCACTGATGTTATGGAGTCTTTCCATAGTCTCTTTCTGCAGATGTAGTCAATTTGATTTCTATGTATTCCATCTGGTGAGGTCCATGTGTATAGTTGTCTCTTATAGTGTCTTAAGAATGGTATTTGAAATGAACAAATCATTGGTTTTGCAAAATTCTATTATGCGTTCTCCAGCATCATTTCTATCACTAAGGCCATATTTTCCAAATACTGATCCTTCCTCTTTTCTCCCAACCTTTGCATTCCAATCACCAATAATGTTTGAACAATTTCAGATTGAAGAAGTTGGTATAATTCTTCTATTTCATCCTCACTGGCTTTAGTGGTTGGTGCGTAAGTTTGAGTAAAAGTGGTATTAAGTGGGCTTCCCTGTAGGTGCATGGATATTATCCTATCACAGACAGCATTGTACCTCATGTCTGATCTGGATATGCTCTTTTTGAGAATGAATGCAGCACCATTCCTTTTTAATTTGTCATTCCCGGCATAGTAAACCATGTGGTTGTCAGATTCAAAATGGCCAATACCAGTCCATTTCAGCTCACAAATGCATAAGATATCGATGTTTATGTGTTTCATTTCACTTTGACAACTTACAATTTTCCCAGATTCATACTTTGTACATTCTATGTTCCAATTTTCAATGGATGTTTACAGCTGTTTCTCTTCATTTTGAGTTGTGCCCCAACAACAAATGATGGTCCCTCGGGCTTTTCTCCCACAAGCTTTACTCCATTTGTGTCATCATGCTCAAGTCTACTTTGAGGAGGCAGCTCTTCCCCAGTCACGTTTTGAGTGCCTTCCAACCTGAGGGGCTCATTTTCCAGCACTATATCTGACAGTGTTTCTCTGCTATTCATAAGGTTTTCAATGACTAAATATTCGGAAGTAGTTTGTCACTCTTTTTTCCTAGTGTGTCTTCATCTGGAAGCTCATCTGAAACCTGTGCACCATGGGTGACCCTGGTGGTATTTACAATACCGGTGGCATAGCTTTCAGAATCACAGCAACTCACAAGCCACCACAGTACAACAAACTGACAGATGATTGGTGGAGATTCTTACCTTCAGGGGGAAAAAAATCAGCGTTTTAGCTCCCCTTTTTTAGCTATCAGTTTGTGGGTAGGTACAACATTTTGTTATTACTTGAGTATCTCAAGGTATGAAAGTAGTGACCAGAAGGAAATATATAAGAAAATGGAAGAAATATCTAGGAAACAATGTGTTTGAGTATATTTTGAGCAGGCAAAAAGAAAGAAAAAAAGCACACACAGATGATTAGTTTGAGAAGGAGGTCTTGGGAATTATTGAAAGTAATGGCAAAAGTGGAGAATTTATGTGTTTGTATCCATTCTTATTCTAAAAAGTATTAGAGATAAAGTAGACAGGTTCTGTACCTTGATAATAATGCATTTTCGATCAAGGTGAATGGAGGTGTAGGCTGGGGAGAATATGTGTGTTGTTGTTTTTTTCTCTCTCACTGTAAAGTGCCCTTTTATCTAGGGAGAGATTTACTCATCTCCTAATTTAACTGCACAATCTTTTCAATTCCTGTCTCTTAGTGTTGATATTAAATAAGCAATAATATATGCCTAGTCAATCCATTTAGGTTCTTGTATCCTAGTGAGAAACACCTTGTCTCAATAAGTCTGTAAATATAAGCTTTCAAGCTTTTGATATGTAATAGGCCTTAATATAAGTATTGCTATTTATCTTAAGTAATATTTTGCCTTAAAGATCTAATTTAGACTAAATCTTGTGTTCCTTTTCTTTCTTTCTTTCTTTTTTTTTTTTAGAACAGCCAGTAGAGGGGACTTCATGTTTTCTGCGGATCGTTTGGTAGGTAGAGGCTTTCAATTTTCATTTCATTGTTATACCTGGTACAAATGCCCAAGGGCCTTTTTTTGTTTTACAGTATTCTGGAAGTGACAGTGATTATACCAAGTAAAATTTTCTTGTTAGGCTTTTGGATTGTTGTGTTCATTTTTGAATAAATCTCTGTGTCTGTGCCTTTTATTACAAACCATTTCCCATGAACTCACTCCATGTGGTACTGTTATTGTTCTGATGGGTACCTTACAGATAGAGAAGTCCCTGGAGAAAGACAAACCTGGTCCTTAGCAACCCTTAAATGTCTCATCTTAGGGTAATGGCATGAAGTATGTATTAAAAGAAAAACAAGGATGTAAGGAGACTAGGGATGTTTATATTGCTCATTTTTTCTGTACTAGCCTCACATGTTAAATACTAAGTTGGACTATTTGCACTTTCCTCAAGGATTTATTAGAATTGACCAAGCCCAATTCTGTTTAGTATACTCTAAGAAGTTCTCAGGCCAAATTCATTTGTCTTCAGGGTAAGCACTATGTTTCTTTTTGTTGTTGTTGTTTATATCTATGTATCAAGCTCAGTGCTTGAAATGAGGTTGATATATTTTCTGCTGTGATTATTGATGTTCATTCGTTTATGAAGTACAGGATAAACACATGTTAACTTCATTAATGTAGACCGTAGTTTGAGGAGGCAGCTCTTCCCTAGTCATATCTTGAGTGTCTTCTAATCTGAGGGGTTCACACATCTTCTTGTGCTGTATCAAACAGTGTTCTGTTGCCGTAAGGTTTTCAGTGGCTACTTTTTCAGATTGTACCACCTCATTCTTCTGCCTTGTCTGTTTTAGTTTGGAAGTTCCACTGAAACCTGTCCACCATGGGTGACCCTGCTGGTATTTGAAATACTTGTGGCACACCTTCCAGCATCACAGCACAACAAACTGACAAATGAGTAGAAGAGCTGCCTCTTCAAAGTTGAGTCTACCTTAATGATAGATGGAGCAAAGCTATTGAAATTTTAATTTGCTGATGTGGCATGAATCAAAATGAGAAGAAACAGCTGCAAATATCTATAATCAGAACATGGAATGTACAAAGTATGAATATAGAAAAGTTGGAAGTTTTTCAGAAAAATATAATACATAAAGATCAATATCCTAGGCATTGGTGAGCTGAAATGAACTGGTATTGGTCATTTTTGTATCAGACAGTCATATGCGCAATGATTCCAGGAATGATAAATCAAAGAGAACTGATGTCACATTAATAATTAAAAAGAACAATTAAAGATCTATCCTAGAGTACATCACTGTAAGTGACAAGATAATATCCATATTCCTACAAGGAATCCTAGTGTTGTACTGTTTAAGAAGCACTGGACTGCTAACCATCAGGTTGGCAGTTCAAATCCACCAGCCATTCTTTGGAAACCCTATACAGGTTCGCTATAAGTCAGAATCGACTCAACAGCACTTAACAAAAACAAGAACAAGGAAAATCAGTTTAATACAACTATAATTCAAATTCACACAGCAAACACTAATGCCAACAATGAGGAAATTGAAGATTTTAACCAGATTCTACAGTCTGCACCTAATCAAACATACAGTCAAGATGCATTGATAATTATTGGTGATTGGAATGGGAAAGTTGGCAACAAAGAAGTTGGAAACTATGGCCTTGGTGATGGAATCAACAATGAAGATCACATGGCATAATTTTTCAAAACCGACTTGTTCATTCCAAATACCTTTGTGATAGTTAAGGTTTTGTATTAGTTTGGGCTAGGATTCTCAATAGTTTTGCAGTTGTTTTTGTTAAGTGCCTTTGAGTCGGTTCCGACCCATAGTGACCCTGTATAGGTTTTTGAGGAACAGCTGGTGAGTTTGAATTGCAGGTTTAAGTTGGTGTTATTACGTGCTGTTGAGTTGGTTCTGACCCATGGTGACCCTGTAATTTTCAATGATGCTATTTGCTATGAGCAGCCAATTTTACCTGCCAAACTTGCATTCACTTGCTTATGCAGCCAGAGGCCTGTTTTCTGACCTGCTGATCTTGGGTTCATCAGCTTCTGCAGATGGTAAGACTTCATATGATGTAGTTTTGTCATGTTATCAAGAGGGACAAGTCCATGGAGAAGGATAGTCATTCTCGGTAAAATAGAGAGTCAGTGAAATAGAGGAACATACTCACTCAATCAGGTGGCTTGGCACAGTGGCTGCAGCAGTGGTCTCAAACATTGCAATGATTGTGAAGATGGCACAAGACCAGGCAGTGATTTGTTCTGTTGTACATAAGGTTGCGATGAGTTAGAACTAACTCAATGGTACTTAACAATGATGACAGTGAAGATGTTTGTCAGGCACTTTCTTCTAGGTTGTGTACAGGGGAAGGGGATATAGACATGATTTTGGATTTTGTGGAACATGCAATCTGCAGCCAGCATTTGCTTTGGGAAAGTAAGAAATGTGATTTATTAACTCCTTGGGTATCATCAGATAGTTGTTAAGTGCCGCTGGAGTCATTTTTTACTCTTAGTGACCCTGTATAGGCTTTCTGAGGGTTTAAATCTTTGTGGAAGAAGAAAGCCTCATCTTTCTCCCATGGAGCAGCTGGCAGGCTTGTACTGCAGACCTTGTGGTTTACAGTCCAGTGCTTATCATATAGAGCCACCACGCTTCCAATCAGATAGGTTATTAAAGGGAATTTGAAAAAAAACACCAAACTTCATTTAGCTTTTCTTGGGAAATTTGTTCCAAAAGAATGTAAACAACTACTTTTGACATTGATTATTCTTGTTTTGTTGTTGTTGTTGTTAAGTGCTGTCGAGTCAGTTCTGACCCATAGTGACCCTGTATAGGGCTTCCAAGGTGAGCTTGAACCGCAAACCTTGCAGTTCAAATGGATTTGCAGTCTGGCACATTGACCCACAGCACCACAACAGTACACCTTGTTTTAGAGACCAATTTATTTAAAATTATATGAGCTTCCAGAATCAGTAATACACCTTGGATTGCACCAAGATAAATGTTATATATTCTTGGGGCAATAGTTAAGTCATTCTGCCTTTTATGCTTTTATGAAACCAAAACAACAGATTCACGAAGGAAGGAACTTGTGTTGGAACTTATGTAGGAACTTGTGTTAGAGAAAGGATATTGATGGTCACTGGTAGAAATATATCTTCTCTTTTGTTTTCTTTGTGGCCTTTTGTTTCTGCAGAAAGTAAAGTTTTTGTTATTGTTAGTTGCTGTTGAGTCAGTTCCAACTCTAATGACTTTATGCACAACAGACTGAAACATTGCCCGGTCCTGTGCCATTCTCACAATTGTTGTTATGCTTGAGCCCATTGCTCAATGAATTAAGTTCCTGATTATTGTAAAATGTTTTTCTGAAAGGGCAAGCATTATATTTTAGTCAAATGAGATAATAAGGACCTATGGCATAATTTAGTTGAAGCAGTGGTAATTTCAATCTTTCTGTTTTCTGCAGTTAATTCGGAGGATTCTGGTATTTTGGGGGGTTGTTGTTGTTAAGTGCTATTGAGTCAATTCCAACTCATAGTGACCTTTGTATAGGGTTTTTGAGGAGCAGCTGGTGGGTTTGAAATGCTTACCTTGTGGTTCAAACTGACCTTATGATCCAGTGCTTATCTTACAGTGCCACAACAGGAGTTCATTTTTGCAGAGGAGAGAGTCTATTGTTGTAGTAGTAGGGACTAGAACTGTTTTGGTTTCCAGTATTGAGGATTTCTAGTGCACTATCTCATCTAGCACTCGAATCTCATTATTGTTGAATCTCTAACTTGAATTTGCCAGGATTCTCTTCCCTGGCCCTTGTATCCTTGAGTTTTTTACATCTTAGTCACTTTTTTGGGGTTTTATTTTTTCCCATAAAGCATGAACACATTATGATTTCTGTCCCAGAGTTGCAGGGGATGGGGTGGGAGCAGGAGTGTTTGTAGGTGGAGGAGCAGAGCTCCTTAAAGAAAAAAGACAAGATTATACCCTTGTAATTTGAATATAAGGGAGATACATCTTGGAGAGGCGGGGCTTGATGGTGGCTAGGGTGGAGGTGCCGTGAAGTTCGCCATCAGCAATAACACAGAATACCAGGCAAAGCAGATACAGGACAGAGCTCCAAAATGCGGAACCACAGAGAAAGGAATATTTTGAAGGTTTGAAGGCTTATAGATTGTGGAACTTGAAGCTGAAGTAAAAAGTTGTGTACTTCTGAATCTGCCGGGCTGGGTTCGGAGGCCCGCAGCCCATGTCTTCTGTGAGACCAAACAGCAAGACCAAACGGAGGAGCAGAAACATCATGGAAAAACACAGCGGGAACCTTGTAGCAAAAGTGGACAATACACTTTGTCAGTTTTGTTTGTTCTGATTTTCTTTTCTTTTTTTTGGTATCCGGTCATTGGTGTGCCCACTGTTTGCCCTCCTCCGTTCTGGTGACTAGAGGGTGACCTTGAGAGAGTTGACACCCTCTGCCATAACCGCTGGTGGGTTCTTCTGCCACACATGTACACAGATACTCAGCCCAAGAGCAGGCCCTGAGGCTTTTTGCTTGTTTGTCTTTGGGCTGTAGAGAGGGAAAGAGAGTGTAAAAAAAAAACAGGCCAAAAATTAAATTAAAGCGTGAGGTATAGCATAACAACCAACACTGGCATCCTGAAATCTCTCAGAAAGCTTTGAAAGCAAGAAGCTGAAGAGAGGACATTAAAGTCATACTCAAATTGGGCTACAGATTTTTTTTCCCTTCTCTCCCTCCTCTCCTTTTTCTGTGATTACAGACTGCAGTATTCAATCTAGTTTTTGTTGTTGCTGTTTTTGTTT